AATGGATTTCACAGCCTGTTCATGTTTTGTACGATCAACTCTAAATGCAATTTTATACTTGTGTCTCCTGTTTCATTGACTTTCACACGCATAACACTCCTTTATCTAAGTAACTCTGCTATTCAGTACCATCTACTCCAGTAACTTTGGGCAGTACTGTTATCTTCAGCACTTCTAAAGTTCATGGATTTGACACAATTTTGGGTTTCCTATTTTTTGAGTATGTTAGAGCTTCAGTTTAAAGTTCGTAGCCAGAAGCAATAATCAGCAAAATGTCTGGAAAAAAAAGACACTAACAAAAATATTACCCCCACCTCCAAAACTCTGCTCAATTACGGTCTCAGATCACCCTAACAGCACTACTCCCACTATTTCTTTAATTTGCACATCTAGAATTTCCATTTCATTGAATTGAGCAGGCATCCGGTTATACTTCAGAATCTATTTTATATAGCATAGAAATCTGATGTACCTTAAAACTTCAATACAGAAGATGGAGGCAAAGAAATTGATAGAAGGAAATTCTGCAATTCTTTTCCTGAATGTATCATTTCCAACAAACAATGTTGCTTTATTGCTCGCCTTACAATTTCTTTAATCACATAGAAATAAATTTTTACAGTAAACATAGGCATTGCACACGCTAGATGACTTTTTTTGGCTTTGTTTACAGAATCTGAACTGAGTCTTCACAGCTGATAGAGCAGAGGTAAGTAACAACACCTTTTCAACAAGCTTTCTGGGCTAATCACTCGTTCCAGCTACCAATGCGTATCTTGTGTCTCCTCCCATCATAATTCCTCCCTGCACCTCCCCTTTCATCCAGGATTGCTACTTCTTTTTAACCCCTCCACGTTCTCCCCATAATCCTACGAGAGAAGTTGCACTAACTTTGATCTGCCAACTGATCTGATCTCATCCGGTTCCCCAAATTACCCTGCAGGCTGGGCACAGGTCTTTCCATCGGGCAAGGTTTCACACTGCCCGCTGAACAGCATCCTTTGCTACGCCAGCAACACAACTTGGGGCAAAGTGGTATTAAGGCTCCTTCACGTTTTTGCAGTTGGGAGACCAGCAAGCACAAGCTCAGCCTTGGCACTACCCCGGGGCAGCCTGTAATGGGAAATGCCAGAGCAGCTCTGTTCAGTAGGTCTGTCCCTACCTGCTATGGCCTCAAACATAATCTGCCCGCGGAGGAAGCTGGGAAGAATTGGTGTAGGGCAGATTTATATGCTCTAATGTTCCCTTCCCAAGTTATCTTCAGTAAATTCCCGGCTGTTTACTTGAACTGCTGTATGTGTTTCTAGAAAAGACCAATATGGATACCCTGGGGACGAAAACTTGCCCATGATAAGCACTGTAAAACAAAACAAACCCCAACCAAACAAACCAATACTCTGGGCTAGGTCACAAAGTAAACAAATTTCATCTACAGAGGCTTCTATCCAATAGTCAACGCTTAACAATTTCCCACTTTTCTGTCATTTCTGGGCTTACTTTGGGAAGGACTGCCACGAAACAAAAAAGCAATGGACAACTTTAATAAGCTCTGATATTCTCTATTTCATTCCTGGTGCTCTAAACACATCATGAGGTCAAAGTAAAACTTGTCGCAGGTCATATTTCTGTGCCCTGTCATGCATAAGCTAGAACCAGCAACTTCAAAGCTATTCCACTGACACTTCAGGTGAAAAAAGACGCAGGAGGCCTGCTGAGATAACAAACCAAAGGCAGAGGAAACAAGCTGACTTGGAAAGTCCTGGCGACTCAAGCTGTCTCTAGCACAAAAGGTTGCATCACAAAGCATTTTATAGAAAACAAATAGCTTTTATCCTAAGCTATTTTTATGTCTGATGCTAATTACAGTCTACATATTATCTTTGCTTGAAGTTTGTGTTTTTTTTTTTTTAAAAAAAACCCCTACGGATAGTCAATTTGACTCACAATTGTGTCACAGTGCACAGACCTGAAATTGCTTTGCTGACCTGAAACAGAAATTGTTCTCTGCTTTTTAAAGCATAAACATCCTGCTGCCAAAGAAGCAGCCAGAAAAACTTAAGGTAAAAACTAACGTTGAGCATACAAGAATCCTCTCAATATTAACATATCTAAAATGATAGCTACAAATCGTCACACAAAAACCGGGCACATGAAGTTCAACAGAAATAAAACCTGTCTTTTAAGCTCAAAATCAACCTTGCGTCAGTAACTGCTGGAATACTGGGCCGATGCATGTCAGTCATACGCACACAAATGGAAACCATCACACTCCTATTCATACTCAAACACTGATTTCATAAGAAGAATTACCCGTCTGTGCTCACTCTGCTTGTTGATAAGAAGAAATCAAATGGAAATTACTGCTAGTGTCTGAGAAGCTCAAGCAGTTTTAGAGGAAATGTATTTTGTAACCTCCTGCGAAAAATCAAACCAGTGAGTAAATACTTTCCCACTGGAAGTGAATGTTATTTAAAAAATTGTCAGTCTTACCTTAACTTTAAGCACAGACGAAAACATTTTGGCATCTTCGGACACTCCTCCAATGTACATTTTTTTGGTAAAGACAGGCACATGGTCGTTTTCATCCTTCACTTCAATAAATACCTTGGCTGTATTACCTAAAAGAGGGAATGAAAAGTATACGTAGAACATTTTGCAATAAATCTTTAACACCTACTGGAGTTCATACATTTACAGCCCAAACAGATAACGTAAAATAAGTGTATGGATAATACTGTAAAAAGAAATACATTAGAAATAATAGCACATTTGGTACGAAAAGTAGGAACTTGAAGGCAGGCAACGGATTTCATGCCTTTTTTTTTTTAATCTACCTTTATTGCTTCTGCATTTACCATTTTTTTTTAAATTAATCTTGATTCAACTTGGAGCTGAAATTTGTATCTTTATGGAAAATGATTCCCATTATCTGTACACCTGCACTTTGCTATTAGGCCTATCTGAATGTGCCCATAAGCAAAAAGCTGTCACGGCTTTCTTTAGAAAGCAAACTCTTTGGGGAAAATATAAGAAAAGACTTGTAACTAATTTTCAAATAAATAGAAAAGTAAGAATATTGTACTTTAGTTACACAGATTCTGGTCACGTTAAATTCTCACAAGTGTTACAAAGAGGCACTGAACAGGTGATGTGTACCAGCCGCTATGTTGCAAGCAGCAGCTTGCTTTTTCCACTTCACATGCAGCTTGCTTTATATATTTTAATTATTACTAACTCCCACGCAAATACTTAATGGGTGATTCTGCCGTGGTGTCTGTAAACTCACAAATGGTCCTACAACAGCGCTGGCTAAGCAGCCTCATCACCTAACGAATTTACTGGCTTAATTGAATGCATGCCTAAGCCTGTCTTCATCACAAATCTGGCCTGGCCCAGGGGAACTCGGGAAGTATTACTTCCCCTCTAGAGGTTCAACACATCGTCAAGCAACATACCCCTGTTAATTTGTGTTTTATTAAACAGTTACTGATCCACCCCATTGAACAATAAACATCTCTCTTCTTCTGCAAGGAAAAAACATCTAGCAAAATCTATGGACCTACTGCAAAAAAGATTCAACTGCGCAGTAATCTATACCAACATCTGTTTGTCTCTTTCAGAATTGTATAATTCAGAAAGATTGCTGGAAATGATGATATCCAGTTCATTAAAACCACATTTTCAAGTGATAAATTGCTTCATTTCAGAGTTGGTTTTCCCAACTTGTTTCGGTGCCAGAGTAATTTAAATGTTGCACAGGTGCCATGCTGATCTGAGTTAGCTTCAAAACACAGGCTCATTTAGTAAGAGCTTCGTAGCTGTATCTTTAGGGGACAAAAAAATTAAAAGCCAGATTATTTCTTAGACTGTCAAAGTCACTGAAGATATTCTGTCTATCTGATGGTCCAATGGACAGGAAACAAATGAAGACTTCATAAACGTAACCGAAATCTGAGAAAAACATTTAAAATGCCATCCAATGCATTAGTATGGAGAGCAGAAAAAAATGAGAAAGGAAAGAAAAAAAGGAAATGACATTTCCTCAGAGGAACAATCAATTATTCGCCTTCCACACTGATCTGCGCCGGTATGTTAAACAACTTGTAGGTGCTGTTACTTCATGGGAAAATGAGTTCATGACAAGCTCTCTTTCTATGGATGGGAAAAAAAACCAAACCTAATCCAACATCTGAATGTGTGTAATGTGGACATAATGGTCTATCTGTAATCGCCCCTAGTTTGCTTACATCCATTTTAAAAGAACGCTTCTTACCGTGACTATGTTATTTATTACGGCGAAGAAAAATTTCAGTCAAAGAGGTATTGTGAGGTCCTACGAATAGTCAAATCTCTCTCGTTAAACCGGGTCCCCACTGTTCCTGGCTGCAATACTAAGTTACAGTTCGAAACTGCAGCCCTGTTGAGAAAAATGAGATTCCCAGGCGGGCTTTTTCGCTGCAGCTACACCCTTTAGGGCAGAAGGCAACCGCAGCAGGATCACAGGCAATGTGTCTAAGTGACCTTGCCCTGCAGAGTTAATAACCAGTTCTATCAATGGCTGGCACCAGTTTACTGCTGGAGGGAAGATCCTAATTGTCTCACGTTCGGTGTCAGAAGGACTAGGCATTTGCTAACCTGCACTAGCGCTCTCTAACGCAAATTAAACATCTTTTGCGTAGTACTCACTAGCTTCATCATTTCAAGCCAGTTTTGGTGAGGTGGCTTAGCCTCGTGCAAAGTTTGCTTTGCAATTTGCTCAAAAACATTTGTTTAATTTGCTGGTAGTTCTCCGAGCTGCCAAAACGCTGATTTGTTTAGTGATGGTTGAACGCTTTGAAAATGAGAAATGAAAGTTATTACGTTAAGCACAAAGCAAGTTAAATATCTTGCATACATACAGACCAACATTAGCATCGTTAACGTTGAATTAAACACATACCTTCATTTTATCTTACTGCCTGAATTTTATACACAGCTTATCTTTCATTCTTTCTGGCAGGCGGAGGGGAACGTGGCATCTGTGAACTCCTCCCTACCGCGTGCTTTTTATCCAATTCCAACCTACAGCTGGCCGTAGCGAATGACTCCCAGCCGCTTACAGAACTTGCCTTATTCTCACATCGGATAAGCCTAGAAGCAGCGCACATCCAAGTCCCTCATCAGAAACGGTGCCACACGTGCAAAGGTCATGCCAGCCCCTTCGCCATGGGGATTTCGCCAGCCACTCTGCTTGATTCGGTCGGATATCCCCTGCACGCGGGGCTCTGGTGCCCAGAGACCCAGGGTATGTATGGTGCTCCCACATCCAGCATCCCTGCACCTCCAGCGCCCTGCCTGATTGAAAAGGCCAACCAACTTGACATGTTCTTACAGAGTCTAGGTTAGACTCCGGCATTAGACACCTTTTTTTTCCCCCTTCATATTCCAAATGCGTTAATGCTTGTTCCAAATATTGTTTGTGTGTGGGTCTAGCCCTCTTTTCTGGTACCCGAAAGGAGGCAACAGCATCCGCTATATGATGTGCACGGTTAGTTATTGATACTCTTGCACGTAGGACAGTGAACACCAAAGGACACCAATATTTACACTTGCCTCGCAGAGGGGAAATTTTGTATCCCCGTGTATGGAAAACCTTGCTTCTTTGGTATTCTAGATCTGGAACCCAGCTCCAGTTACATTTTCAGGGATTCCAGTGGTTGAAACCAGAATTTACTCCTCCGTCGTACTTCCTGCGAGACCTCATGCCTCATGCAATCAAAGTATAATTCTTATTACCGTGACTCAGCTACCTAAATAGCTGGCCAGGTGAAAGAAGATAAAGCATCTTTCCCTGGACAAAGCAGCACCGGACTGCCAAGGTGGTCAAAAAGAGCAGAGAAAAACATGGATTGAGTGCTAGAACTGCCCGCCGTCAGCTGTAAGGGCAGTAAGTGCTTCCCTGCACACAAAGTATGCAGATAATATTTGACAAGCAAACAGTTTCTTTAGTTTTACAGCACATTTTTATCGCTAAGACGCATTTATTGTCTGGGTTTCTCACACCAATTAGTTCAACAGTCACGAAGGTCAAGTCAGCCTCCCAGAAAACAGGCTGCAAAGGAAGTTTCCACACCACGATCTCCTGCAAGGTCTCCCGTGTCCCATTTGCCTTCTCTTTTCCAGACCCCCCTGAGAGGCACTGCAGTGCTCAGAGCCTACAGAACTGCAGCTGCTTCCAAGTTACCTTCTGCTTGTAAGAACCAAACATATTGCATGCACTGCTCCAGCTAACTAATTGCTCCCAAGACTAGAAGACGAGGCCTTTGGATCTTTCAGCTTCTGTGATTTGCTTAAGGAGAGTGAAAACATCCTGAAAGCTGCTCTGAAGGAAACCTGAGGATCCTCTGAAACACATAAAACTAGCACATCATGAATGACTAAGACAGAAAACAAAAACAACAACAAAAACTCCAGGGAGCTGCTCAGAACTACTGTGTACTAGCATTTCCAGAAGTTTTTCCCAGACACGCTTGTTGAAAACACTTTTCCAGTCCCACTGCTTATCTAAGCAGTGCTAATAACGCGCCCGATTCATGTGAGTCTGCAGTTTCTCACCAGGCTGCAGAAATTAAGTGGAACTATAGCAATGTTTTTTGAACGCTGTGACAGTGTCAACTATGCTTTGAGTGTTACCAGATTTCTTTTACATTATGCTTTCACGAGTGATATGCGCTTGTCTTCTACAATATGCCAAACAGCCATTGATACGGCTGCTCTTCACGCATCGATAATTGTAACATAAAAACCCCTGCACCGAGCTTAAGCAGTGGCTGTTTGTTCTGCAGTATGTAACAGCAGATTCTTCTCTTTTAAAAGTTCGTTTTAATCAAACTGGGAATGAGAAGTGTAATTTGACAGAGTTCAACAGTACCTCGCTTTACTACTGTCTTACAAGTCTGTCGAGCAGACACTGTGCTTCGGCAGGTAAACTAAACCGAACTGCAGCTGCGCTCAATCTCGCCTTACTAAATTTGGCAGAACCAAATAGGAATCGACACCAATTCTTTTTCGGTGGCATTGCGATCTAAATCAGCGCGTGCCCACAAAGCCTGAAGAAGCTCCTCATATGCTGTAGCTGATCAAGAACAGCGCAAAAAGCAGCTTTGACGAGACTTAACCAGCAAGGTATTTGGAACGGCACTGATCCAAGGTCTGATTGAAATAAAACTAAAACATCTTTTTCTACCAAGTAATTCATTGAAAGGGAGCTCACATTCTAGGCAATCTCTCTAAAAATACATTGCTTTGTTGCCCAGAGAAATTTGAAGTTTGTCCCAGTGGCTTTCAGTGAAACTACCGCAGAGTTGTACGGCAGAGGAGGCAGATTCGCAGCTCTTTAGGCTCTGCAGCGTATTTGGTCCATCTGTCACGTCTCCTGGATGCAGGGACTGGCATGGCAGCCAACTTACAAAACACCATCAGCACAAACTTTTGCAACATGTTTGAAACTAAAAGTGTAAGGCTACTTGAAAAGTCAAGCGTACAGGGATATACAATTCATTTTCATACTTATTAAAACTATCGTTCCCATTTAGTATGGAGCAGTTGCAGAATTTTGGTTGCAAAACTGGTTTTATCC